CTGGGAAAGATAAGGCTGATGTTGCTACCAAAGCCAAAGGAAAAGAAAAGGTTGTGGAAGAAGATGAAGGTTCAGAAGAAGGAGAGGATGAAGAAGTTGGGTCTGATGCCGAAGATGAGGAAGAGGAAGCAGGCCCAAAGGAAGAGACTGAGGATGATGTTGAAGAAGGTTCAGGGGAGGAATCTGCCGAGGAAGAATCGGCATAGCCATCTCTCAGCAGGACTTTTATTTGTCTTTTGTTAAAAACTTCTTATTTTGCGTGGTTGCTGAACTCCTTTATTTTCTATCTCCTTTTCCTTTGCTTGTGATGAACTTTTTCTTAGTATCCTGTGATTTATTCTAATCTATTCAGGTATTCTAGTTGTTCTTATGAACAACACGTGTGAATTGTGTTTAGATATCTTGTGGTTAATTTATATGCAGTTCAGAATATGTATCTCATCTTGTAGGTTCAAGAAAACGGTTTTCGATTTATCTGCCAAAGGGGGAGATTGTAAATTCTGGTTATTGGCAGTAAATCGATGAACCTTCTGATGATCACATGATCCAGAAAGATGCGGGAGTATTTAAGGGAAGTTTATTTTTGGTATGAATAAATCTTAATTTTAATTAAGTCCAATGGGACTGATTATTTATGTTATTATTTTGGCAGGACTTTGGGATTGAGGGGGAGATACACTTTCCATAATCTAAAGAGAAAGGAGGATCGCAAGATTCACCTTCCATAATCGAAGATGAAGAAGTTAGAGAGATTTACATTCCTTATCCGCATTTGTCTTGGGTAAAAAGACTTTCCAAAGGATACTGAAAATAAAAGGAGGACGAGACCAGAGTTGAGGATGACTTTCTGATCTGTATTTTTTTAAGTTAGATATTTTTTCTTTCCTTGAGTGAAAAAGAGTGATATTCAGAACATTTTGTAAAAGAACGTTCGGAGGTTCGTTCTTGTAGTTTGAGGGATTCGAACTAGAAAATCCACAAAGGAGTTGTGGTCGAATAAGTAGTTGTGTGAATCATTATTCAAGTAGAGTGTAGAGGGAGTCTATACTGTAAACCCTTGGATGATGTATGAGTTGTTCACATTGATGAAAGAGATCTGAAGGGAGAGTGGGACGCTCTCCTGAAGGTTCAATTTTTAGTGAAAAACTACTTCTGCAATTGTTTGAATCTTCATTACTGTCTGTCTATTTACGTGCAACTCTGGATACTTGGTGTTCAAGTATCAAATTTCAGATAAGGTCTGGTTTCAAGTTCCCAATTTGGACTATTGATCTGTATATCAGACCTCCATATTTAACCCGGCTTGATAACTATTATACGCTGACCTTAACTCATGAACATTAGCTTCTGACTATGTACTATTTAGGGCTATTCCAGTATCAATTGGTCCCGCAAGTACTATGCTAATAACTGATTTTAAGCTTTGCCAACTATAACTCGGAGTATCTAACTGGTAAGATACCCGACTTACTGACTCAAAAGGTTGTTACTTTTCGAAACTAGACTGCTACGGTCCAGCTTCAAGCCTCCATG